CCGCCCCTCCGTGACTCGTCTCCACCCTCGCCCGCCACCCCTCCCGGCCACGTGCGTTTCCGTTGCGGCGTTGTCGGTGCGTCTTAAAATCCGGTACATTTGGTTGTGTGTGTGTGTTGTGATCAGATAAGGGGTGGCTAGGAGATGTTAACTACTTCGCCTGGTGTACAGGAGGTCGTGGGTTCAATCCCAATCCTGACGCCTGCTGCTGTATATTTGGAGTTTGTGTGTCTCATTATCATCATCATCACGGTGGCTAGGAGATGTTAACTACCTCGCCTGGTATACAGGAGGTCGCGGGTTAAATCCCGATCCTGACGCCTGCTGTATATTTGGAGTTTGCGTGTCTCTCTCTCTCATCATCATCACGGTGGCTAGGAGATGTTAACTACCTCGCTAGGTATACAGGAGGTCGCGGATTCAATCCCGATCCTGACGCCTGCTGTATATTTGGGCCTTGTCTCTCTCTCATCATCATCACGGTGGCTAGGAGATGTTAACTACCTCGCTTGGTATACAGGAGGTCGTGGGTTCGATCGTGACCCTGCCACCTGCCAGTATATTTGGAGTTTGTGGTGTCTCTCCACGTGGTGGCGTGGATTTTTCTCGGGGTCCTCCACATTTCGAATCAACATCACGCGTTTTAGAGTGCTTTTTTCGGCTGCTATAAATTTTCCAGGTCACGAGAAGCTCAAATTCGTTGAGCTATAATTTGTGATAGCCAGGTCGCTGGTGAAAAAAAGAGCTATTTATAGCTCAGTGGGGCATTAACTGGTCAAATGTAAAAAATATATATAGTTTCGATTAAATTCGTATAACCTTATTCACACCGGAGTGTCTTAGACTCCGGCATGAGACATTTGTGACCAAATCACCCGCAAACGAAGGCGGCGTGTTTTTTTTTTCTTCTTGAGCCCTTGTGGGTTAGTGCCTCGAATGATGACCACGATGAGGGTGGAGATGATGTTAAAAGATGACCGTGAGCAGCAGATGGCAGTGCAGGAAAACCCATCGTGTCGTTTTAGAAACCTTTTATTTAATTTTGAAACGGTACTGTACTCGGAACACGGATTTACTGTGGCCGGCAGTCGACCCTAATGAGAGAATGGCAAACCGATTTTTTTTTTGTTAGGAACGATACCGCTCCCGAGAGGACGCCCATCGCGGAGACGGAGCGGTGAAATCAGCTGTTGTGCGAGGCGGCTTGCGATGAATGTTTCGGTCGCGGGATCGTGAGACGCAGCGGCTTGCCGGAGGTCGTTGATCCAGCAGTGGAATGGCCGTGGCTACTAATGTACAGCATTTCAAGCTTCACGAAATGAGCAGGCTATATCTACGCCTCCTCCTCCTCCACATATCTGTCTTGTCACATATGTCTATTTTTTTAAAGAAGTGTTGTTTACACATCAGATCATCAGCCGCCACACACTTCTGGGAGTGCATTATTTCAGCAGCATTTGTTCAACACAAGCGAAAATAACAAAAATAGATCGTTTTCGATATTCAGTATCTCATCATCAGTAGTCGAGGCTCGCTTGGCCCAGTTGCTGGTGGTGAACTGCCAGATGTTTGTAGGCAAGGACACTCTGATATGGGTCATAGTTCGACACAGAACTGTATGTATGACAAATACATTAATCCATGCAGTATACAGTAATTATTTTAACCACTTTAACACGTAGGCTTTCGCGACCAATATTATTCATAATAACGGTTTTTGGGTTAGATCGCGTTTATTTATAAATGTGTCGTAACCCTCCACCACCCGACACGGCCAATCAGCAAAAAAAGTGTCACGTTGACAAAAGACAAATAATTCACTACTTTAGCCCACCGGTGTGTTGAAGAGTGAATCCACATTTACAGTTTGAGTACGACGTTTCGCTGGTAAATACATCCAGCATCATCGGGCAATTCACTGTAAATGTGGATTCACTCTTCAACACACCGGTGGGCTAAAGTAGTGAATTATTTGTCTTTTGTCAACGTGACACTTTTTTTTTGCTGATTGGCCGTGTCGGGTGGTGGAGGGTTACGACACATTTATAAATAAACGCGATCTAACCCAAAAAACCGTTATTATGAATATTTTAACCACATTAACAGTGCAGGAAATGTGAACTCAATAGACAGGGGGGGGGGGCTTTCCAAACCGTGGCCTCATGTGGGGCGCTCATTTCGCGATCGCTTGAACTGGACCGACAACGTCACATTGGGGACACCTCGGTGGCACTAATGGGGCGGTTGTGACTCCCACCGATTGTGGGGGTCTTCCTGGCAACCATGAGCCACTGGCTCAACGGGTTAACGTCCTGAGCCAGGATCCATCCACGTGTAGCCCAACCTCCCACCGCAGCCGGGGTCACCGTGAAGGTCACTCAACTCAGTGGTTGTGGTCAGCGAGTGACCAGTGAACGTCCGTCGCACGATATCGACGGGTTTAACCCCCCCCCCCCCCGACCCACCCACCTGACCCGACTCAACGAGAATCAGAATATTTATTTATACCTGTTGAGGAATAAATAAGTGTAATATGAGAATGGGTTTCCCCCTTTTCCTGGCAATAAAACAGGTGTTAAGATGTTAAAACACCAAACTGAAACCTTTTACAAGGAATCACGTCATTAAAAAACATACTCTGATAATATATGCATTGTCTTTGAAACTGATTGGTCCACACCAGAGACAGCTTTCTCTTGAGCCTCGTCTCAAAACGGTGTTCGACCAGAGGACGCCAAATAGGGGTACCTTTTGGCATCCTCTGGTCAGAAAAAAAATGGGAAAACCTATTCTCATGAATTTCGCGTAAATAACGGCGTACTCGGAGCGCCACCTCCAAACGACCGATGAAACGGCGTTGTCGCCTGGCTTTGGCAGGTCCGAGCATAAGATAAAAGCCACCCAATGCAATTGCATTCGAAGCACGCCGCGTGTTTTTGAAATGACAGCAGATCATCATTAGTTGCACGCTCCTCGCAAACAGCATAATGCCAACACCACGGCATTGTGAAATTATGTAACCAGTCACGGATCAATGCCAGGAAAACGGCCTTGTAAGGTCAAATTGTGTGGGGGGGGGGGGGTAAATTCATAGCACGGGACTGCATATAAACCAGTCTGAAAGAAAATCATCACTGAGGAAGGCAGCATGACCGACCAGTGCAAAGGAATTTCTCCCACTTTGGAAAATGTTGGCTCCTCAAGCTTGGGTCTATCACCACTAAAGTGTTAGAGTTTAGAAATAATTGAATCTTCTCAAATGTGGAAGTGAAGAGGCATTCATAAGTTAATCCAATTATAGAATAATGAATGTTGATGAAAACCTGATTGTAACGCAGCTTTGCACTTTCCCTCTCCTCAATGGAGTTGCCACCTGTTCCAAGTTTGACCCAAATCTGGAAATGGAATCAGCTCAGGTGACAGGAAATTATGTACTACCATATGTTGAACTTTTATCAGTTTTCTGCAAAGTCTTGGAAAACCTCGGCTAAAAAAATGTCCGCATTTGGTCTGTGGAAAAGGTTGCAACTTTACTCAGAAATGAGCTCATTGAAGGAATTTGACCTTTAATGTTGCGAACCTGCACAACAGCCCCCTCCTCTGCTTCTGCAAGTGAATAGCAGTGACATGACACGCCACTCCATCACTCTAATTTTAGCTCCCCGATACATGATACTAAACCAGGCCACAGTTGCAGAGTGTGGGAGAATCGTATGAAAGCGGGTTGGGTTATATGCGTCGAAACGATTATACGCAGGTCAGCCAAGGAAGCCCTATCAGCTCCCCCTACCCCCACCTGATTGATGCAGCTATGGTCACCAATAATAGCGCAACGAAGTGGCTCATCATATGGACATGTAAAACAACCAAATACTTTAAACGCATGTTGATTCTAAATGCGGAGGGGATAAACCGGAGGACCGGGAGAAAAATCCACGCGACCACGGGAAGAACAAGCAAATTCAAATTTTCAGGCGTCAGGGTATTGACCGAGTTATTTCTGTGCTGCCGGACCTTATACAAATTATAGATTCAGATTTTTTAAAATTATTTTTCTACCTAGGTAGCACCAAGAGATTCCACCCTCCCTTTCATGACAGCGCGGGGAATATCTGCACAGCGGTAGTAAGGGGCATTCGGTAGGGAAAGGACCCTTTAACTCGATTGGCATGAAAAGTTTTGGCGTACAGGCAGAGGTCTCCCTGGAATGAGTCGAATGGTTTATCTGATCCAAGTGGTGTATAATCGAGCCCCGCACTATTAGGGGGCAGAGTGGTCCAGTAAATAGTTTCTGCATGACCTGGAGTTATCTGATACCTAACAATAGTTGGTGCTGTGGGTGCTGTGTCAGCCTACACTAATTAATTTTAGTACCAAACACCTTGTGATCTTGGGCCACCACTTCAATCAGCACTGACCAAACATCACTCAAAACTGACACCGCATGGAGAGGCTTTGATTCAGGAGGGGATTGATAGTGCAGTCTTCACTTTCTTTTGGATGCCATGTGAAATGCAACGGATGAGTTTGTGTCGAGTTTCAAATAGCATATTGACGGGGTCTGTTATGAGTGCTGGATTGCATTTCACCAGTTACGAGGCAACTCTTAAATACTGTACCTCGATTCCGGTGGTGGCAGCCCCTCCCTGCTCGAACAGGGTTACGTATCGTTCAATGTTTGATAAGCCAGGTAATTCCTTCCTTGGATGTTCAAAAAATATTTGTTTGGGACATTGCGGGCTGAACATTGTCTCTGTTAGTTAACGATGTCTTTTTGCCAGTTCACAAAACGATTAAAGCATGTCCAGTAAAATAAAAGTGTGGTGTGGCAGTTGTAACAAAGGGGTGTGAAGAGCCATTTCTTCAAACCACGACTAACCATGACACTGAAATGAGAGAATGCACAATTGTAATTACAGTATACCTTTCTAAAATTGGTATAGAGTTTAATAGTTTTTCATCAGCACATGTAAATAGTAAAAACTACACTACAGCACAACCCATATGCAAAGTGATGTTTTATTCCTTTTTTATTTAGTAGTACAAACCTTCAATTCCAATTGTTAGCCTTTTTTCCTGTTTGTGTTTATTCTTACATAGCAGCCACTTCCAAAGCATCAAAACAAGAGCACCAACTCTGTTTCAAACTGAAATCACAAATTACAAAACAAAATTCATATTTCACATTCTCTTACACACCAGCCTGGGGCATGGCTAAGGATCAAAATATACAGGCTTTATTTCATATCGTGTAATTTTTTTCGTCTTTTTAAACAAAGAAGACACATTTCTCCATACTGAAGACAGGAAACAATTTACCATTAACAGAGTATGGTGTCCAAAGCACTGGGACAAAAAAAAACACAATAGAACATTCAGAAAGTGTAAATGCATGTAAAGTATATTTTACCAAGGCATTTAAGATTCGCTGCTGCATTTTATTACTTATTTGTATGCTTACATTTGTTTTTTTTAATGTTTATGGATACAGAATGTATCATGTACCTACATTTCCGGCAGCAAATCAACCCGTGTACTTTATGAATTGTGGAGAAATGTTGTATACAGCCGAATCCAACTGATTACAAACGAAAATGCAAATAGGACAAAATAAATTGTTGTTTGTCAGCAGACCTAATTTACCATTAGCTAGAGTTAAAGTATTTAAACTTGTACAGCACATTCAATTGCAAAAGTAATCCTTAACATGATTTTAATACTAAAGTTCTAGAATTTCCAGTGTAAATATTGACTTTCATCATTCAGTTACTTATTTTAATTTAGCAAGGAATAAACTTTTTTCAATTGTGAGCGACAGTAAATTGAATTTAAAATAATAGAATGTGGGTGCAAAGCCAGCCTTGTAGTCTTGACATTGCATGCACTGTAAATGCAATACAGGGGTATGTTATACTAGCTATACTAGGTTATAACCAAGTAATAGAGTAGAGCAAATTTTTTTGTTATTGAATAACATTTACTGGTTAAGCGAATATTAAAAATGAATAAATAGGAATTTGCTACACAAATCATAACTGAAATTGGACTCGACTGGAATCTAAGAGCGCTCGGAGTAATACGAGGATAGTAATTTACATAGAACTTAAACAGGTGCACATACTTCATTCAACCAGACTGGCAATAAGTTGCATATTACAACCAAAGATACCGTTTTATTAAAATGGGTTGAATACTGCCATTAGTGGCACAGAAATTGGTTCAGATTAAAGGAGAGAAAACAAAGAGCAAATCAATGTACGTTAGTTAATAATAATGCTATTACCATAATCTGAATTACTGATAAAGAAACGGAACATGTGCAGTAGCTTGCACTTATTCCAGTGGTCAGCAAGGGTCGTTCACACCACATTGCTTAAAATTCATCAACACAGGTGCTCACTTCAGGTTGGGCCAACCTTTGGGAGTGTTTCATTTGATACAGAACCCAATTTTAAACTGGAATGTTGCCTGGGTAAATATATTTTGGTGCAGCAACACTGCATTCTGCCACAAATGGGAAGACTGTCAATAAAAACGATGAAATATGAGACTAAATAGTACACCTTAACAAATGCAACCATAGGTACGCTTTTATTGTAAAAGATAAAAAGCTTAAAGCAAGCATTTACAAAAAATTGTAAAGCCAAATATATTTATTAACTTTATACCCAACATAGGCCAACATGAATTGTAACATTAAATATATTTTCGAGTAGAATCCTTTAACCAATTGTTTATAATAAATTCCATTAACGCACAATGTACCTCAATTGCAGAATGCAAATACATAACTTATATGTAATGGAAAAAAAGTTTCTTACGAAATGATGTATTTTTAGGTTAACTCTAATTAGATCCGCTGGATAGCCTATTGGGTGGTTTTAGGATTGTTCTAACGTGCAGCAATAATAAACAGTCAATAAAAATGATTACAGCAAATGTTTGCATTGTTCAGAAACCACATACAACTATTAATTTCACTACAGTTTTTATAATGAAGCATTGCAATATCACTAAATTGTAAACAAAAGGTCAAATAAATTATAAGCATTTTAAGCCAATGAAAATTAGGCCTTACGTATGTGCAAACTACTATGCTCAATGCATTGTCAACTACAAATTTGAATTTGTTCCAATTCTTGGTGCGCTTGCCAATTCCACAACATGCAGTTCTGTACAATTTATCACAATCGGCACTGACCACCCCCCCCCCGCCCACCCCTTCTTCCTCCTCACAGGTGCCACATATACAGCATTTACATTTCTTTACTTCAAGTCAAAGTCTATTTGGTGCACAGTATTACCCAGGACTAGGAATAAGCAAATGTGACAAAATATGCTGCCATCATATCCACACTGTACAACTGAGGTTTTTAGCGTTTACTCAAACATTTTCACCATTTACAAAAAAACATTCTGCGCTTGTGTTTCTAAGGCTGGATGCACAAGTTTTTGTTTTGTTTTAATGACACCTTACAAACAGAGAGTGTGAGGCTGTACAGAGGCCTTCTCTCTCAGCGTGAGTGCTGGAGGTACGAAGCAAGAGTGAGCAAACTCTTATTCCTAATCCTCAGGCCAGAAACAAATTTCACATACTCTGCACAAACAAAACACCTTGCTCTTTTCAGGTTCACGGACCACTTGCTCAGGACACTCTTGCCATTCTCCCATCATTTACCTATGGCATTTTAAAATATATCCCCATGACAATAGACGTACCCTTGTTACAGTAGCTTGTTAACCCCACCAATTTCGTCATCCCTAAAAGTTACATTTATTTTTAGATAGAATATGGGAATTGTTATCGCTCTGGAGAGGCCAAACTCTAAGTTTACGTGTAAAGTTTTATGTGCGCATTCGCAAGGCAGCTGCAATGTGGACACTTATTAGGACAATCATAATAGAGATAGTTCTTTCCAAAACTGCTAAGCTCACCAGAGCCTGAGGAATAACACCCTGCTTCTGTTACAAAAAAAGCACAGTCGGCTATTTCTTTGCAAGTGCCATTAGGCGCCGTTTTAAAGTTAAATAAGCAGAACAGCAAACGTGTTTAGCTGGAGCAAATATGCATTTATTATAAACAACGTTTATCATTAGTCCTACAGATATTACAAGTTTAAATGCAATTACTTTATTGGCAATATTAAAATGTGCAAGGTGTGCACTCGAAAGAGTTCCACACGCGTTCAGCTGGAGGAGGCGGCGGTCTGAGGCGTCTCAAACTCGCTGACGCGAGCTCCGTCTTTCCGCACGCCATCACGGCACGTCCCGCACACGTCCAGGGGCTTCTTGCTCGGCGGGGACATCCGACCGTCGCAACAGCTCGCACAAAAGACCTTACCACAGCTCCTAGACATGTAGCAAACCAAAAAAAAATATAGAAACATATTTGGGGAAATGAGTCGAGGATTAAATACACCAACATATTTTCATTCACAATTTAAGGCTGCCAAAAAAACATTTACCGGCTTTGTGAATTTTGATCCAGCTTGAACCAAAAATGGTGCGAGAGAGAGGCAGATTTTGCCCTTCTTAAAAAAATAATCAATTGCAAATAATGAAACATGAACCTTGTCCCTTTTTTGTTTTCAATATATGCTGAAGCTCATGCACACACTGGCTTACCGAAATACATTTGTAATTACACTACTTCGATGGATGTATAGGTGCTTTAAAATAAAACAAATATTGAGTAGACAATACAAACACAACTACATTAAAACATACAAATGTATTAAAACTGTCAAATAATTGGTTTAAAAAAATATTTAACATAGCATGAAATATCTCCTTGGGTCAATAAAACACGGCCTAAGAATACAGTAAACAGACCAATGTGCCCTTTCATACAACTCACCAGCATAAACTGGCTTGGTCTGGTTGTGCTGGATTAAAAAAAATTGCAACACCACATCAACTGTACACACATTCTAAAGCATGAACATACAAGGCTGAGCTTTGGAGAGAAAGAAAAAACCAGGCAACACAAAGGAGCACATGCATGAGAGGAAGAAATGGAAGGAATAACAGCTCACCAGGACTGGGCAGACAGGTCCTCATCCCTGCAAGTGGGGGGAATCGAGAGCTCAGGAGGATTGTCGAGGAAGTTTTGGTATCATTGCGATATGAATCACTGCATACTGTTTGAAGCCTAGGCCCACCGACCAATTGTCATTATGCGGAGTGCTAAGATTTGCAACATGGAAACATAAGAGCAGACAAAAAAAAAACAGTTCGTAGCTATGTGATGTAATTTCTTGGATTGCATTTTGGACTTGACGAACCATGAAACCAAATAAGCGAATGTTGCGTTTTGTGCAAACGTTGATGTCACTGCCTTATCGGTTGCAATCAGGGCACATTGACAAGGCAGACAGGACAGAATTAGGAGACAAAGACATGGATATATACACACACAAACAGCCCTACTGAAACCTTGGTGAGCAAGCAATTTCAGTTATCAAAAAAAAACCTCGATAAACACTAATGGTGTTGCAGAAACTCCTAATCCAGACAGCCATTGGACACAACTGTTGACTAAATTTCCGTTTACTGTTGGGCATAATTACGTATCTTCATGCAAGTAATAAACAGTAAGGGAAGGTTAGATTATTTGTCAATTGCAATTTAAATTATCCAAAACTAACCAAAGTATTAACTTAAGCGGTAAGCTTAACAAATGTACATATTCAAAGTTAAATAATTTGGAAATGAGAGGTTAGTTTTGCTTCCCAACCCAAGCAAGCCATACAAGACTGTCGCAAACAGCCAGAAGCTGGATCAACGGACCGAGAAAATGCCTTATTAATTTTACCCTTGGGATGCAAAAGCACAAATATGTAAGCTTTGCATGAGTTCATAAATCATAGATACTATTGCATCTCATTTTCACTTAAATATGGCCTATAATTAGAAGATTTAACTGTTCGATTAAGCAGAATACCGCATAACTGTTAATATGTAAAATGATCAGATTTACAAGCAACATATTGGACACCGCTTGTTGATCAGCCGTTGCCTTTGTACCCTATTTGCCCGGGCAATTCAACGAGTCCAGGACACTGGGTTCAATTATTTTCCACAGACTGTTCAAATCTGGCACGCAAATGTCTGCGGGGTCAACTCATGTCAGCCACATGACTTACAGCACGTGACATAGCAATGACCAATGCAATGCAATGGCAATGCACACCTGCAGTAGTGTTCCGTGCTTTGAAGCCAGACGGGCCCCTCGCAGCTGTAACATTGGGATGGCACCAGCTTTGCCACCTACGTTGCCATTGCACACAAACAGAGCAACGGGCAAATATTATTGCCGCTATATGCAAGATTGCAGTTGGCTGTATTTAAATTACATAAAACGTCGCGACATTCTCGCTGGAAATATAATTAAACAAAACTGCCACATCAGATACACGATATAATGAGCAGTGCATCTTAATTTCGATCAAGAGCAGATATATTTTTTTTAAGGTCACAAAAAATGCGAATTTTACAAAGGTGGCACCTGATGTCCATCATGCGTGTCGATGTGCTCCCAACTGGTCTCCGACACCATCCCAGTACTGCACTGAGACAGCGGACCCGACTCCACCTCGCTGTCCAGGTCCGAAATCGTAGACTGATACACACAGCATGCACACCAGATGCACAAATATTTTACAGGACATTTCATGACATTTAAAATATTGCTTCCATTATATCTATGGGTGGCCGGGCAGGGGGGGGGGGGGGGGGCGAGGAGCAATGTGGATGAGCTACATTCTTGTACATTGCAAGTGAACTTTTTTTCTGGGTGGTGGAGGGAGAGTTATTGCGATTTGTAAATAAAAAGGCTAGCACCTTAAATTTCTAACAATACAAAAGTACCACTGAGCACTCTATAGCTCTTCGGATTGTACCGTGTGTTGTTTCGGAATGATGTCTGACGTGTCACTCCACGTGACAAGAGTTTCTTCAGGAACTTAATAGTTCGGTTTAAATTCCTGAAGAGACTCCCAGCGCATGAAGCAAAGCATTAGATATGCCAAACAGCACAAGACACAACCCGAAAACACAATGTTGAGCTACGCAGCCACAAGCGTGGAAAACCCACACAATAACTCCACTGAGCATTCGTGGCAATGTACTCACCAACTCCTCAGGGCACTCGGGTTGCCTCCTGTCGGGCCCACCAGACATGTCCAGCTTTGGCCGCTCCGCCTGCAGAAGCTGCTGCCGCTGCCTCCCGCTGAGCTGAGCCCGAAGCTCTTGCAGAGCGCGGCGAAGTAGCAGCGTTTCTCTGCGGTGCTGAGCGTCCATCTGGAGCAATCGGCGCTGCACAGGGTCTGGTGCGCAGGGCAAGCCATCTGGATCCCCTTCGCCTTCCTCGTCTTCAGCTTCCTGCTTCTCTTCTCCAGGCCAAGATTCAGTGGCCGTGGTCGATGCAACCACCGTTGTCATTGCTGCCATTGTTGAAGATGCTCTGGACCAGCGCGTGACATTGTCACAATGCTGGACTGGGTGCGCCGCATTTTTTTCTAACGCTCCACCTTGCCGTGCAGAGCAGCCGCAGTACAAGAAATTTTCCGAGGCAGAGTTAATGGAGCTGCAAGCTGAAGGGTGGCACACACCATTGGAGTGTCTTCTGTCTGTGCCCATGTGAGGCACATAATCCGCAAGTTGAATCCAGTCATTCCCAATGCTACTGTTGACAGAAACACACCTACTACCCATTTTATGATGCGTGCACTGATGATGTCCACTGTTAATGGGAATGGTCGATTCGCAATTTGTATTTTTCATGTGAACGGATGCAGTACACTTTTCCTGCTCTGCATCACCATTTGTTAGAGGCCAACCCGAGTCCGCACATCCTTGGTTCTGTCTATTGCTAAATTGAGTCGGCCCCGGTCCTACAGAGCTGTTGGCCTGAGGACACATTCCTGAACAATCGTTGGGCTTGGAACGTACACGATTCCTTTTAATATCTGCCAAATGCCTTCCACAGGATAACGGCACCATGTCAACAGCAACTGTCGTACCAATGTCTTTCTCAATGCCTTGTTTACTTTGCTCTAAAGCTTGAATTTCTGTCAAACTGCAAATAGTACACAGCTTTCCAGCCCTGCATCGCCTGGGCTGCTCCGTTGCTCTGTGTGCCCGGTCAAGAGCAAACTTTCCTTTGCAAGCTCCACAGTTATTTCGCCTCCGCCCTCGCTTTTGCTTATGCTCCCCATTAATACAAGACTTGCTCATGCTGCCAGCTGTACCTAAGGCTAGGCAGGCTTTTCGTCTTTCTACACTTCTCAACCCATTGGATTTAACACCTTTGCAGGACCTTAAATTATCCTTTGCATCCAGATCAACAGACTTCAACTTGTGCATCAGACAGCAGACCTGTGCACTGCGAATATCTCGGGTTATGACCACTCCCTGGCGGTTCTGACCGCAGATGTTGTCACTGCTCAGTTCTTGTTCTGTCTGTACTTCATCTGTGATGGTCTCAGTTGAGCTCTCCATGACGGACTTCCTATCTTGCACCATGCCTTGTTCCACAGCCTGAGAGGCAGAGGGCTGAACTGGAGACTTTTCAGCGGACACAGAATCTGAATTACCATTGACATTCTCACAGTGCCCATTACTCATTCCAGAATCATTCTTCTCTTTGCGGGAGTTGACAGTGCTATTTACCAGATCAGCGTCGACCCAAGCGAGGTCATCATCACCATTTTTGTCTGGTGGGTGGCTTGTTCCTGCACCACAGGTCTCAGAACTCCACGTGATCACGGCAGGAGATGAAGCACTGTGGATAACAGTCTGTGCGAAGTCGAGCTTTTCAGAAGCTTGCTCTGCGGAAAACTCTCCAAGCAACTCGTGTGGGACATTGATCCTGTTAAGAGACTGAACACAATGTGAAGCTTGCTTTCTCACTTTACCGTGCATATTGTGTCCCACTGCCGGTTGCAAAGAAACACCAGAATCACACCAACACGTGTTCCCCAAAGAGCCATCAGCCTTTGCCACTGCATCCAGTTCAAATCCAACCTTGTTCACCAAGGGCTTGTGCTCGTGCATATCCGAGGCGGCCGTGCGCTCTCTCCTATGGTGGTCCGCCTCGTGACCGCTGCATATTGGCGCGCAGTCAGGGTCCGAGGCCTCGAGGCCCGAGTCACGCGAGGGGGCGCATGCGAACGTTTCACTTTGCGCCAGGAGGCCATCTTCGGTTGGGGTGTCCGACACGCAGCTGATGATTTCCATGGAGCCGCGCCGGTCGATGCGCAGGCCCAGGCCCTGCAGGCTCGGGTCGCTGAGGCGTCGCCCCCCACCTGGGCCACCCCCCTGGGCCACCCCCTCGGTCGCTGACGGCAGGTCCTCAAACGAGCGCGTCTTGGACAACCTGCAACCGGCCGATAAATGCGAGGCCGGGCTCAGCTGCATAAAAACTACCAGCATATAATGACGCTGACCAGCGTGAAGCATGGTCCGACGTGAAAAACAGCTAACTAATTATTTGGGTTTGTCGTGATACGAGTGCCGATTATATTTGGAGGGAAAAGGGCCATAGGCAAACAAAAATGTCAGAACATACACAAACCTTGTTGTAATTAGAGTAGTACAATCTGATACTCCTTTACAGAGCGGAAAGATTCGGAAATATAGTACAGGCTTCACAATAAAAACAGAAATCTGAGATAACGGTGTGAGATAGAAATCTACACACCTCAGGTGCGGCCCCTCTTCAGCTTTGGGGTTCGGTAATGGGAAGGTGGGAGGGGGCGCCGGTGGAAGGTCTCGGGGAGGAGGCCCGGCAGAAAAAGGCTCTGGGAGGTACACTCCTGACCACAGCAGCAGACTCCGCACATGGTAGACAGGCCGCAGCACCTGCACATCACAGAGGGCATGGCGGCGGTGGAGCAATCGTAAATGTTGAAGTGGCAGAGGAAGCAGGTGGCACTGTATACACACAATGGACTTTTATTTAGTACTTGTCATAACGCTTTGGTTCTATTCGGTAAAGTCACGTAGGTAAAAATAAAATTACAAAAATCACGACGTTTCGGCCACAACACAAGTGGCCTTCATCAGGTGAAGGGACCGGACTGTCCAGAGGACATTATCTGGATCTGATGTCCACACTCCTTGACCTGCCATTGCTCGAAAAGTGCAATTCTTCCCCCATTGCTGGCCAGTGCTGCATTCACCTTGCGCTTCAAGAGCGAATACAGTCACGATGGGTCCCCCTTGCTACAGGGTGCCTCGAGAATTACTGCATGGGAGGCTTAGTATAAATATTAAGTGACAATGATAAATACCGTGTCAGAGCCCGGGGTGTACAGCAAGTTCGTGAATGCCTTGTTAGCAGGCCGCAGGAGCAACCACACGGAGCAGCAGCGGTTGGCTGTGCCGCGCTCTGCTCGCTCGCGTGTGCTGTTACACATAAACGTGCCATAGAGGCACGAATACGTGTGCTGCACCAGCTTCACCTGCAGGCCGGCACAGGTACACGGATGCGTGTCAGACGTGTGTACATACGCATCAGTGTTCGCGCGAGAATTCTGGCCGATGCAAAGCAATATATTTTGGTAGACGCATAACGAAGGCACTTTCATATTTTCCTTGAGTGTCGACTATATTTAGTTTTATTTGGCCGTACAGTATAAATAAGAGAATTTTACCAGGCAATAACACGTTAAAAATGTATACATTTCGATACATTAAAACAAACAGCAAAATATACTGTTACTTTATATATAAATGCAACAGAACATTTGGTAAAAATGTAATGATCTTTAGCTCGGTAATGACAGTTGTATGTATGTATAAATTGAACTTCTTTCGCACCATACGTAGCCAACAATGCTAATCGGAGGTGCGGGGTAAAGATAACAAAACTTTAAAAAAGCAGTTCTAAAGGAATCAGTTTTCAATTTAGATTTAAAAGTGCATAGCTCCAGTGGCTTCCTAATATCGGAAGAGCATTCCGGATGGCCACAGAAGCAGTGCACAATGCAGTGACCGTCTTTGTTCGATGGCTAAGCCAAAATGTTTGATGGCAAGTCAGTTGCGTGCAGGGGTGTTCCATAGCAGTGCTTGTGGTTGGTAGCTTATTAAGCGAGTTTATACAAGTCTCTTGCTGGTGCTACATATAAGCAGAGAACATTACAGGTAGTCCTCTACTTACGATGGAGATGCCTTACGACGACCCCATCGCGAGTCAAAATATCGAAAGTCGAAGATGGCCTAGCCTACCCAGGAGTCTTAAAGAATGGTGATAATTTAGCAAAACAGAGCAATTTACAGTACCCTACTGTATAAACTATATACTGTATGCTTTTTATTAATTACAAAATTGTATTGCACAGTAAAATGTAAAGTAAAAAAAACAAGGTGAAATTCTTAGCCTACCTATATGAAATGCAATTTAATATAAAGTTTTACCAGGAAATAATCCTATCTGCTATAAAAACTTTTAACATGCATTGAACGTATGTATCGTATCGTGGCGACCCTAAAATGAAATCGCTAAAGCTACGTATCATACATACAATTTTTGTCGTATCGCTATCGCCATCGTAAGGTCGAAATATCGTAAGTCGGACCATCGTAACTCGGGGACTATCTGTATAGTTAAATTTACCCACTTGGATAGAGTTACTTGACAACATCGCAGCAAGAAACATTCTATAAATGACCCTTCTCATGTAAAATCGCCGTGTGTTAATTTCCACCGACAAGAATTCTTAAGGATGTGTGGGGGTTAAAAGGGAAGCCAAGGTGGAATGATGTTGTGTGGCTTGGGGAAAAAAAACTCACAAGGAAAGCTTCGTTAAACTCAAAGGAGCATGGGAACTGGCGCTGCAGCTGGTGAACGCAGTCGAGCCACTGCAAGAAGACGGGGCAGCGCTCACTGGCATCCTCGGAGCCATCTCCGTGCCCGCATCGGTCCGCAAACTTGTGCCCGAAGTCCAACCACTCCATCTCCACCAGAACTTGAAACCCCTGCACAGCGTACAAGTGGCACAATGTTAACCACCAGAGATCCCGATGTCAGGTTAATTGCCACCAGCTTCTTCTCGGCCTTCCTGCCTACTACGTCTTCCCTCCTCTCAAACAGATGCGAAATGCCTCACCCCAGATCATTATTAACCTACTCCACAATTCGCACACTTTTGCTCTACTTTCCTGACTCCACTGGCTCCCCGTCTACTATTGCTGTCGGTTTAAATTTCTCTCTCCAGTCTATAAAATTCTCTATGGTCTTGCACCACCTTATCTTGTTTCTGTCATATCTTACTATTTCCCATCCCAACCTCTACGCTCCCAATCTCTACCGTCCCTCCCTGTGCTTCCCCCGCCCTGCACCCAGTCACACTCTTTCGTTTTCCTTTCTTGCTCCCCTTCACTTGAACAAACTCCCACAGCATTTAAAACAATCATTTTCGCAGAGCCACTTCCATTCCTCCCTTAAAACAACCCATCCCTACTCCCGGTCCGCACCCCCCAGCCACTAACAGGCCTACCCCAACCCCTCCTTAACCACTCCCACCACCTGTCTCCATAACTACACCTCCACTTTTAATAACCTACTATAATCTTATGTACAACTGTATCATTATTTTAAAGCACCTTGGACTAAAGCACTGGATACATATATGTGTAAGATTAGCTAAGAATTGCTCAGTCATCTTAAAATCAGCAATACGAAAATGACTTATACTTAACTAGTTGCTCTTCGGTCCGTTTCACGTCAACGTAGTTAAAGAATCTCAAGCATGCGAGGCTAAAAGGGACCGACTTGATCAATGTTAAAGAAGACCACATGGTCTCCCGACTCGTGCAGCTGGATTTTCATGCCCAGGATTTATCCACCGCGTACGCGAGCACGAGAAGAGAAGTCTGAATGCAATGGGGCTGGAGTGTTTCGCAATGCACGTGCCTGGATAGTACGGTAGTAGGGATCAAGAAGTAACTTGGCCAGTGCCACAATCTGCGGGGTACGGTCCCAGCCGTCGGAGCAGTGAACAAGCACGGGACGTCCCTCCCCGGCCACCGCACCCGCTACAGCACAGCCAGCCTTGAGCAGCAGGGACAGGTGCTGAAGCCAGCGTGTGCTCTCCAGAGCCGACAGCCAGCTGAATACATCATACATGTGTGTATATATATATTTATTTATTTTGTTTAAACTGGACACACACAGGACAACAACGCACCTATGCAAGAAAATATATTTCAAATGTGCCCGTGTGTGAATACATAGCCCGAGTGGCATAGTAATATTTACAGAAACATACACAATGAGTGTGTACATAAAAAAAAGCTATTATTCAATGTCATACACAAGTTCGTGGTGCAGGAGATAGGTCTTTCTCACCTGTTGGGATCTGGCGGTTGGGAACAGAGGGTGCGTAGGCTCTGAAAGCTCTTGCGAATGTAGTGGATGTTCGCCATGGACATAAAAGTAATTTCGCAGTTTGGGTAGTACTCTGCAGGATATGCAAGAGTGCCAAATTATGTCACATTCATAGCTGCAGCTTATTTTCTCAAATTTGAACACAAGAACGTAAAAAAACCAACCGCATGACACTCATCCACAATTGAACATGCTCAAAACACACAAAGTAGCCAGCACCATAATAAGCATAAAGTTATAGACAGCACAGATATTTTTTCCACTCCACAAACGTTGTGCATCCTACAAATGTGTCCGCACCTGGGCACTCGCAGCCACCCCCCTTGGCTCTGTTGGCCACGGCGGCTGGATAGGAGCGGGCATCCATGATGAGCAGCGACTGGGCGGCAGGCACCTGGGATGTTTCTGTTTTGGGCAATGGGAAAAGCATGCCATCTAGGAGCAGGAGCCAAGGAATGAAAAGTACACGTCTAACTATTTAAAAGCCCTCGGCTTATGCCATTCTCCAAGGATTAACCTATGCCTTTCCCATTTCACAATAGCACAAAGGACCCCGTGCTGAAGGAATGTACAAATATGCACGTGAACTAGGCCCAGAAAATTTCAAAACATAAATCCATAAGTATCCAAAGTTGTCCTCGAAACTGAATGACATCTCGTCAACTGGATGCTCTCTACCACAAATACCATTTGAGGGCATCGATCATCATTCAGTAAAATATGCAGCTGCAATGGAACTCTGAATGAGTTATCCTCATATGCCCTGAACATTGTCCCCAGGATAATAATTGACATTAGATCCTCTGGTTCCCATAGCACACGGTAGTGGATATCCTGAAAAAAGCTCCCAATTGGTAATGTAAGATATAAATACCATGCACATTAACATTGATTCAAATAACACAATTCTGCAACATAACATTCACAGTACTCTTGCAAAGCTTTTCACAGCCACAAACAGGAACGTAATTATCATTGCATTAAAGAACGAGGTTTCTCAATAGACGACTTATTGAAACGAGTGATGTCAAAATAGCTCGCACAAAAATAAAAGCAGCCCAGACGAAATAAATGAATGAATATATGCGGACCGCCACTTCTTTCAAATGTTTCTGGCCGTTGGTTTTCACACCTGATGATGACCGTTTGTGTTATGGTCGAAACGTCGTGAGAATTTTTATTGTTTTAAATATAATTTATTATTTTATTGTTTCCCTTCAACGTGACTTTACCGAAAGAGCTAAGAATATAATCTAGACGAATTAGAAGTTTTACAATGGATTTAATTTGTTAAAATGACAGGACACTTTCTGAAACATCACACTATAAGGCCAAACGGCTCCTGTTCGGACTTTAGCACTCACCATATTCACTCTGAAGAGAGCTGAATTCAGCGCCATAGCCATTGCTGCCAGTGCCACCGCCCCCTGGCTCCCATTTATTAAGGGCGCATGCGCGTGCCATTGACTGGATGAGGTGTTCATCCTCTGGGCTCCGCCAGCCCCACCAGCTCACCTCTGGCTGGCTACTGCGTGCTATCACAGCCCCATTGTGCTGATGCCTGCACACACGTGAGCACGTGCAAAGCAAATAAAATGAGCACATTATACAGTGTCAAGTCAGTAAATTTAATGGAACCAAACACTTCATTTTATCATACACAGTCGTGCAACCGCTACAGATAAATTCACCAGCAGAGTAAAAGTATCAATCATTGAAATTACAACTCCGGACATTTAAATTGCAGCAATCAAATTTCTTTTCTGAAAAATGACCGACCCAAAAAATAGTGACCTTACTCTACCAATGCAACTATTCGTATCAGTATACAATTTACAAAAAAATAAAATTTCACACTGTATTAGGCATTTCATTACCAACATGATAATAAATATATTCAGACACTTCTAGGTCTCAATAGGACAACAAGTCCTCTTGCAACATCCCAAGGCTCTTACCGGTACACGACGACAGGGATTCGCTTGCCCGAGCGGAAGGAGGCCACTCTCTCCAGCTCCTTGTCAGTGATCCAAGCAGGCACGAGCAGCTGCTGGGGGTAGCTAGCGCACAGACGGTAGCTGGCATTCACCTCACTTGTCCTCCAAGCATTTTCAAGGTCGTAGCCCATTCGCTCCACCTCATTCTGAAACCTTTCCACAATGTGTTCGCCTGTAAAACGCCCAAGTGTAACACAAACGCGATCCATCATTTCACATGAAAACGGTTTATAGCTGACAGAACTAACGTCAGAGAGGTTCAGTTGGGAAAGTGTTCAAGATCTGCTCATTCAAGATACAACAGGTATACAACACAAGGGCAGCAGTGGTGTAGAAATATTGCAATTGTTCTCCATCAGCAAACAGAAAGATTAGCCTTTGATCAAACATTTGGTAAATGAATGACTCACTTCCTGTTCCTATGCCCGAATATAAATGGCGCATGCACGATTGTAGGCTGAAGTTAGATTTACTGTGTAAAGTCAAACATGCACTGCTGTTCCTCTTCCTATGGAACTTAAAATGAGGTGCGTGGGTGAGAAGGTCGGGAGGTGGGGGGATGGGTGTATGGGGGGGGGGGGTGCGCCCCTCGGCGGAGAACGGGTGGAAGCGGAGAATTGCTGTGGGACGTTAGTACTGAAGTTTATATGTCGTGAGTATGTTATTTGCAGGTGTTTTTTTTATATGCCCCCCCCCCTTCCCCTCCCCCCGGTTCCCCAGCCCACCCGTCCCTTTCCTTTCCCCAGTATTAGTTAACTTCCCCCTTACCCTTCCGCATATAAAGCTTCATATCCATGGGACTTTTTTTTTGCCAGTATCAAACATGAAAAATAAGAATGTTACACTATCAGAGCATGTTTGCATGTTTTGCCAAATGTATGTGTGGACTTGATGCCTTGCAAAAAAGGTGTCTATTTGGTGGTTCAATATCTTAACATCTGTTTTATTGCCAGAAAGGGTTCAATCTAGTCATATTTTTCGTATCTATTTGGTGTTTGTAAACTGTAATGCACCCGCACGTGATCCCCACCTGGGTGGGGCAATGAGCCCAATTTTCCCCCTTCATTCAGGCCCTGTCTCGCCTAAATCGGGTCACTTTCCGCCGAGTTTATGTTCACCCCCCTCCCCCCATTCTCCGTTTTGTGATCGGCGTTTTGTACCGGGCTCACGTTCCGTTGTAATAACAACTTTTTTTTTGTTAAACGCACACACTTCTGTAATGGGAGGCAACAGTGGCCCTCTTACCGGGCTGACACAGCGTGGCCTGCCCATCACCTGAACCCCCGTCCTGACACGTGGCGTGGTGAGCAAATGCAAAGAGGCCATCTAAGCCAGGTGGCAGCAGTGCCATATTGGATAGCCGCTTGCACAAACTCTGACACTCCTCAAATGTCTGCAGGCTGCACCTGCAACACAGCAGTCCAACCCAACCACAGATATGCAATTTGTTAAAAGATCAGTCAATTAATTGTTTTTTTAGATACTTTACCTTATTGAATGCAGCAGACCTGAAAGCTCTTTTTTTTACTTTGCAATCTTGTTTTCTAAAAGCTGTTCAATTGCTCCAATGATTTCAAGAATACATTGAAGCATAATTTAAGATACATTATTTGCAATGCAATTTTACATTAGCAGGCAATCAATCATGTGTTTTTACAAGGTTATGCAATTATATAACAAAAGAGAAACCTTTGAAAGATTATTTATCAGTCAAAGATAAAAAGAATGTCACATTGTATGGAAGAAAACATTTACGCCTCTAAAACTACGTCAAAACATTGGAAGGGCTTAACAAAATTTTACTCAGCTTAGAAAAAGCTTAATTTTAAATGTAGTTACTTTGGTAGGAATACGTACATGTAAACACGGCCATCCTTGCAGGTGATCTGCAACTGAAACATGTCTCGGCTCTCCACACTGTCAATTAATCGCAATGGAATCTGCAAGGAACAACGGGCCATTTTTGGTTAGAAGCACATCAACTATGTTATATATATACTCGTATGTTTGCTTCTCCCCCCAATTATATTTCACTATCATGTCATGAGACAAAGACAATCACATTAAATCTCTCATAATCAGTCATGTAACAGTCTGTGCGAGGGAATTCCTCTGAAAGATTACGTAAAAGAACCACTTCTGATGTCAAGGAGGGCACCCATTTCTTTCATGCGTAAAGAATTTCAATAAAACCGATTTAACTATTAACTGGAATATGCCAAATTGCATGCAAACTGTAATGGTTTTTTTTTGTGTGCAGCTATTGGTGAGACCATCATCTCACTGCGGCACAAGAAGCCTGTTTGATGACAGGCGTGAATTCAAGCTTGGGATTACAGCAGTGCTGGTTCAGTGCTCTGACATGTATTAGCCTCCTAAGCTACCCAGCCTCCCCCACACTGTGTTTATCTTTGAACTGTGTACATTCCACCAGTTGGTCAAGAACAATAACCTTAGCAGTGCCTTTTCCCCTCTTACTTGTTTAGAATTGTATTTGCAGTATTTTTAAGTAAAAACAGCCTTCAAATAGAACAGAAAAAGCACAAGTGATGTGGTGTACGAATTAAGATGGGGGGTTTTTTATGCCTCACCCACATTTTGTCCTGTATTCATAAACCTTGGTTCACGCAACATTCCGCAGCAATGCAGCACGCATGACTTCAAAATATTCGGCACCGTGTAATGCCGATGGCTCACCTATATTCCCAACGGATGCATATTTCTACACCATTTCAGACAAGCATTCTTTTTTTTACTTACAACTGCTCTGCCTTGTGTATATTGCACATTTCAAATGATAACTGGAACGTGTGTCCATACAGTCCCGTTTTGTCAATCCACTGCTGGACAAGGGCCTCTCCGCATCGTGCTGGGAGTGAGCACTCTTTTACCATACTCTACAAAGCCGCTCAGTGCAAGATGGCGAAGGGTGAGGAGAGCACAGAACAACAGATTGTGCCGCGCTGCCCTTTAACTACAACTGGAAACAAATTACATATATACCCACTGTACAATTGCTTGCGATGGTATATGCATAACCCGAGAGTAAAACTCAATGTTATCTTTGTTAACATCCATCATTAATCAGAAAATGTGCCATTTCAGATACTCCACATACGCTCTTGATGAGGAACATTCGTTTAACACACAACAACCAATCCACATTTAGTGAAAAGCTTCAATGGTGAGGTTTGCATGTAAAAGCAGATAAAGTAAAACCTTGGATTGCGAGCATAATTCATTCCGGAAACGTGTTTGTAATCCAAAGCACTCCGTATATCAAAGCACTCGTAAATCAGTTGTGATCACGTGACGCTCGGCAGACAAAGCGTATACGTACTACTCGTAATTGCAAGACCCTCGCTCGTTTATCAAATGAATATTTACTTACAATTTTTTCTCGTCTTGCACAACACTCGCAGACCAAGTTACTCGCAATCCAAGGTTTTACTGTACTTTGTCCACACGTATCTCTGCACCCCCCGCCCCAAGTGTTTTGTCCCAAAAATAAGACCCAAAAGGATGTCTCCACTGTGACGGTTCTCTATTAGATGGACAAGTGCGCACGTGACGGGCATGCACTCACGCTGGTGGCGTGACGGCCACGCACGATGTGGAGACGGTAATTTGTGAGCGTCAGCACTGAATCGGCCGTCCGCTGCACATGCTGCACATGTTCTCCACTCAGCACCGCAAAGCGGACCTGTGGGCAGACACATACACACATCAGCGGCATCGCACAAATACCTGTTGCACACACACCGTGGGTTTTAGGTGGTGGGGTGGCAGTTTGGTGTAATTCCATAGGGGCCATCCATTTAGTACGTACGCATGGAGGGAGGAGGGGGGGTTAACCCAAATGCGTACGCTTGCGTATGGGGGGGTACACTGACAATGTACGTATGCATAGGAAACGGGGGGGGGGGGGGATCTCGATAATAATTTGTCAACTTTTTGCCTTCAAATGAGCCACAGTTCAGTTTCTTCAGCTGTCAGACAACAAGTACTACCGGGAGAAGTGGGACTGTGGGAGAGGTGTCACTTGTGTGCCACCTGCAGCTATCACGCAGCTCAGCAAAATAAGTAGCCAAGGTACGCAACTTAATTCTTTAATGCAGCCGGCGGTGGACTGTTTGCTTAAACACGTTAATATTATTCATCTTTTATCGTTTCTGCGTGGATTAAATATCGGCCGTTCTATAGGATTCGAGGGGGTGCGTCAAGCGTACGTACAGGGAGGGGGGGAAGCGTCAAGTTGACAGATTTTTTTTGTGTATGTACTAAATGGATGGCCCCATATTGGAGGCAACCCCCCACTATCGATTGACATTTTGCTTTAAAAACAACAAAAAACCCTCAACTATTCCAGCTGAGTTGCCTTTTAGAAAAATCGGCAAAAATTATATTTTCTCCTCACCAATAATATCTAAATATTTTTCCCACAAATGCATTTGTTGGAAAACACAAGAACAGTGTTTGGTCCTATGGATAGCCCAACAACCACCATAGAAATGTGAAATTTACACTACTGCCTCCGGGATATTAAGAGATTAGGGGTAGCGCCTCAATACTATTGAGGGAGAAATTACTTTTGTTTTAACGGTCTTATCAGCTGGTTACCTTCAAGCACTCCTCCTCCCCACCAGCAACTTGCTCAACCGGACTTTCCTTGGGAGCTGTGCTGTCCACGCCATCCATTTTGTTCTCTTCTTGCGACTGTAGGAATACAGCAAGCGACCGTGGGAAATGCAATATAGTTTGACGGTCAGCTACGTCGCTGTTGGCAATACCAATTACATTCTAAAGGCTCTTAGTTATCAGTACATTAATCAAACTTCTGTTTATGTACAAGTTAGTCATTTGCAAGGGGCAATGAAACTGTAAAGAGGAAAGGCAACATTTGAATCGCATCTCATCTACTTTTAGAGTTTAGTGCTGGTTGATGGTTATTTATATGAAAATGGGTGGAGACTGAAAATCGCTCTGTGAACCCTGCAACTTTAGTTTAAACGTTGAAAGGCATCATCTGCGTGTGATGTCAGAAACAGTCCAAAGCCCCCCCTGCATCGACTCACAGGCCCAACATGAAGCATGGTCAAACAACTCCCATAACCTACATGGCCATGGGGGAGTTCCTTTATTCGCACTAGATTGACAGAGGTGTCTTACTTTATTATATTATACAAACAGCAATACTTCATGTTCCAGATGTTCTAAATGTGCCGAAGACATTCAAGGCATTTTATGAAATGGCTATAGCGTGAGCATACTTTGACGTGGCATAAGTATTACAGCGTATTTATCCCTCTTGTCATGCTGCTAAAGATCTTTAATGAAAAGTCATAAATATCGTTTAAGATAAAAGAAAATTAAAACAATTTAATATATTAATTCGTTTCAGGCTTGCACTCACTTCCACATTCTGAAGTGGACACATCATCCTTCATATAGGGAACTGCAGAGCTGGGGGGAGAGGGGGAAATTTGGTGCCCTGCACCTCTGTGTCAGCCTCTCTCTTCGACAGTGTGTACGCGTTGCAAGTTGAGATTCACCTTTGAATGTTAGGAATGTTGTAAAAAAAAACGTTTAAGGAATTCAACAAATGTTGTTTGCAAAATTCCACGCATGAAGCAGGATGTAATGTTGAACAATGCTGCAATAAATAATGAACCCAAAATCGATTAATGCAAATGTATACATAACCGATTAGTAAAAGGCCTGGAAAAATCCTTACCTGCTGAGACAATGCAGCATATGAAAGCCTTAAAATCAGCAGTTATAAGGCCATAACACCACCAGTGCTTATGTCACCGGCAGAAGTCAGAGCCAATGAAGGCACGAGTCAAAACTGGTGCAGTGTAGTGGCTCCAGTCCAAATTGGGAACAACGTATTGTAGACGAGAGCAAACCACCAACCCGAAAGTAACGTTCTTCAATACTGCTCATCTGGGTCATGCTCATTATCAATACCAGCTGGCGGGTCAGGCGACTAAGGACAGTACTAGGCTAATACTCTTCCCGACAATATTGGGAGTTGTAATTACTTTACTTTCAGTTGAACGAAAGAATACATAGGTAAGTACTGAGCGCATTGTAATAAACTCGCGAATAGCGATGACGCAGCGAGTTCGTGAACTACGCTCTGAACCCGGTGATCTCAGTTAAATTCCCAGCTGTGGCTCGCATCATTGGTTCGTGATATCCGAACCGGCCGAGGCCTTCTTTACCAATCCAAACTATCAATGAGCACCGCAGCATGGAGAGGCCTTAATCCAGCAGTAGATTTCCAAAAGGTTTGTAAATTATTATTTTTTTATTGCTGATTATCTCACCACACAGAGGTCTCAAGACCATGGGTATTAAACACAGACGCATTATTAGATTCCTATACTCTAGCCAGAATGTGTGTAATTTCATGTTAAGTATCAATTAAACTGTTAAATTTATATTGGCAACTTCAAGATGACCTCTTACCATACCTTAAACTAAATGAAGTAAAATTACTTTTACCTCCAGGCAATGTATACAAATTGGTTCATTTTAGATTTGTTGCGGTTAAGAATATTTTTTTTCTTTCAATTCTCCAAGTTTATATTTTGTATGCACAGATAACTATGCCTCATCATAACGAAAAAAATGGAAAAAAAAATTCCGCCTCCAAACATGACAATCAGCTAGTCTTCCAGGATACATAACAACCATATCGGTCTCCATTAAGCCCAGTCTACAAGCGTCAAATTGTCGAATCAGCAAAAGAGCATGTCAACGTTCACAATTAAGATACTGGACTGAACAAGTTACACAGGAGATGTGTACTCAGTTGAAGAATCTTCCCACAGACCGATTACCTCACTGTTTGCCGTCTCTTTTATGCCATCCTAAAAACCCTGAGTCTGGGCAGTAACCTTGAGTTGGGAGCAATAATAATCAGACATCGTTTTGTCGAGAAACCTGAACTACTGCAAATATCACTAGGTGTCTATAGAGTTTGGCAAAGCTCTATAAACCCTTGCTTTAAATGTATAATTAGAGTATTTAAAATGGGCCAAACAATGAATAGCAAGCCTACCAATTAATTGCATAACGCAAATATGCATACAATATGCCTTTGTTTTCAGAAAACGAACCAGAGCTATTAATCCTGAGAAGATAAATGACAAGAAAGCCAAGACAGATAAGTTTCTCAGAAAACCACGTCTGTATACTTCAGTTTTTCAATATATTTTCTTATAACCCAATCACCTCGAATGCATCTCAACTCATTACATCTACGAAACTAGGCATATCTCCGAATCTAAGCAGAGCTGAGCATGGACAAGGCTATGGGGCTGTGCATGGAAATCCATTACACTATTCTGTACTTCTATTCACCCACATTCTCCCCACCTTCACCAAATTTGCACTGACCAGCATGGTGAAGTACGGTCGAATAACCCCCAAAGGGTGGGGAGGGCTCTCATACAGCAGAAGACTGGCAAAACTGTACGTGTACATGCACATGTATAACCCTAGTCAACTCAATGTTAATTTTGTTAACATCCATCACTAATCATTAAATGTGCCATTTCAGACACTCCATATATCTCTTGATGAGGTACATTCGTTTAACACAACCAATTCGCATTTACTTTTTAGATCCAAGAGAAAAGCTTCAATGTTGAGGCTTGCATGTGAAAGCAGAAGCAGTTTCTAGTTTATTTACAATTGCATCTTAAAGACTGGTCTGCGGTTTGTTAGGGTGTTAAAATGAGTTGGAGTGACTTAACAGTGTTTTCTAATGGAATGGTATTACAGTACATTTTCTTAAATAAACCCAACTGCTGATTAAAGCTCATCGCAATTCACCCGGAGTCCTTGAGGTAGCTAATGCGAATTGAGGAGATGGCTGTATAATATGCATTAACAAGTAATGAAATTAATTTATTGAAATCGAACACGAAATTCGAAATGGGAAATCTACCTAAACTAGATCTAGAGTGGGATGCGATAAAACTTCCTTGAACATAGCGGTGCTGTTTGCCATGGTTCACGAAAACACAAACCTATGATCCAGTTTTTCTCAAGCTCCCCGCTCTGCTGTGAACAGAACACATTCTGACTTCAGTGACCATAAAAGCACTTCAAATCTACTGTAGCTGTGTTTCTTATCACACACACACCACATGGGCATGGGAACAGTGAAAAGGCTGCATTTTTCTTTCCAAAATGCCACAAAACACTGCATGCACTCGTTTCAGGTCGAGTCGACCCATGGGAGGCCCTCGGTGCATACAGAGGCCCAATTCAAAGATGGAAACTTCAGCCTGGAAAATTGTGGGCAGGCAACATTCACTGCACTGCTCATGAATTAAATAAACTGGAAGGACACCATTTAATTTACCAACATCATATGCCGGTTATCGTGAATAAATAAATCACGTTCGGAGTTTTTGACAAAATTACTGCTGAAAAGAGGCCTGTTGTTTCGAAGAGGTTTTTTTTCCAGCATACTTCACCGCAACTGGTTCAGATATCGCATGTTAGCATTGGACAGGAATCGAACTAAGGTTGCCAGGTTCATATTACCATGTTAGCCTTGCGCCACCACTCCATCCATAATTACGTAAGAAAATATTGTTAATAATCCAGAGAGATATACAGTTACAGAATTTACACTGTAAGCAAAACATGCTACTTCATTTATATACTTACATCAAGTTAGCCGTCTACTTCATTAAGTTAATTAAAACCCCAGCAAGGTCATATTGTGTTCATTTTTATAGGAAATATAATAAGGTGCGTATTCCTTGTGAGTGTAGTGGTTATTACTGATTCTGAGTAGAAAAAGCATCCCACACATTCACACAATGCATAACTACTCAATAGTGTTTTATTATATATTTTAGAGCAAGATAAATAACCTATTACCAAATGATATTACCAAACACTATATTGATTGGTCAGCGCAAACACACAATTGTTGAAGTTTAACACGTATGCTTTCGCGACCAATATTATGCATAAAGGTTTTTTGGGTTAGACCGCAGAAATATAAATGTGTCGTTAACCCACCGCCACCCGACAGACAATTAGTAAGGTTTGTCAAGTCAACAAATTGTGGCAATTAGTTACTACTTCAGCACACCAGTGCGTTGGAGAGTAAACCCACACATTTATAATTTGAATACGACGTTTCGCTGGTGATTACAACCTGCTTCAACAGGCCATTTGCCAGAATTGAGAAGTCTTCCTGCTTCGATCTTAAATTAGAGTAAAGGTGATGTCATCACTGTGATCCTATCAGGTGCGAAGACCAGAGGGGGGTTAATGCAGTGATATAAATAACAATGGATTATGTTATTCTGAGAATAACTGTTGAAGATTTCACCTTAAGTGCATCTACCCAGTTTTAGGAGCAATGTTCCAATATGTAAACACGGCACACTGTTGGCATTCGGGCATTTATGGAAGGAAATTCCTCAGTGTGCACGAGGCTCATTAACGAAAACATCCGTAACCACTGCATTCACCATGGTTTATCACAAATCATGATAAATGCCGTTCATCACAGAGTAGATGTACATTTGAAGCTTTCGTGACTCCAGGAATCCATACTCTTTAGTTCTTGCGGTAAAGTCACGTAGGTGATTTATTTTATTTTATACCTACGTGACTTTACCGAAAGAACCAAAGAGTATATATGTACAGTCTCAATTTTCAGAGGCAGACCAGTTCTTCAGTGATAACTACCATTTTAAGCAAGGCCATTTTTTTTATTGACCCACGCTTTGCAGATGCAGAAGATTCAACAGATCCAATGTGGGGTTTTTCATTACTACAAAATTTGAGCTGTCGGTGGTCCTCATGAAGTGTGGAGCGAAAGAAAGTCTTAAGGTGTTTCATACCATTGTCTGCATAAATGTTGTCTGTTCAAGAGGGGTCGTCACTGGGCTCGTCTTGAGATCTTGGGTGTATCTCCAGATTTCCAAATTTTAAGTACACCTGCAGACACAACAGTGACAATTAGTCAAGAAACCTCCACTTACAGCGAATATTCATTTAAATAAAGTCTACATTACCTTTGAAAAACAAGAGTTTCATCATATTTTTTAGAGTTCATGCTTTTGCAAATTTCATCTTAGAGAAATACATAAACAAAAATCATCAATGCAGAGCACATACATTAAAGTTAACCGAGACAATCAAAGCATAACTTGGTTATTGTGAATTCCACTTAAAAACATAAACACCATTACATTCCAGCAACGTGAGATTCTTTAAAATAGCACAGTCTCCCAAAATTCACAATATTTGCCTGCCCTGCTTACATTTGATATTCACGAGCCAGCCACATATTTATTTGTAAACAACGTATACATTATTGTTCCAAAAGGCTACTCCAACAAAAGCACCAGATGCACATATTATAACAATCCATATCAAAAAGAGCACAGAATGTTTAAAAAAAATGAAATGCAGTACTCCAAAACAAAAGTAGACGCGAGTTTGCGCGGCTAACAATAAAGAGGCTATAAATAACGAAACATGATTCATTGCGAAACGGTACAGTGCGTTGAGCAATTCACCAACTAAGCGGGCAAGGGCCTAGCAGAGTACCCCAAGCGAGGGCATCTTTGATAACAAACGTCAATGCAAACGGGTCGGGGGGGGGGGAAATGTACGAACTGTAGTTTCCTTACGTCGTACAAGAAGAGCAGAGTTGCCAATTCATGCTAGGGAGCTTCCCCTGTCCGTCCCTGACGCAAACACATTTCCACATTTATAATAACTCGCCGAAGCAACCTAATGGGGAGGGGAGGCTGGCTGCAAGCGGCCTCCCAAAGCAATCTGCACAACAACAACGGAAGTGGCAAAGTGCCTAGAATGCGGAAGACTCTTGCGGGGCTTTCAGACAAAACTGTATTAATCACGGGAACACCACTGCAATATAAATGAGGAAGGATGCCATCACCCCCCCCCACCCTATCTTAAACACAGGGCTCGAATGCCATCAATTGTTTGGTTCTTGAACATTTCTGCACTCTTTCAACTTAACCTACGTAAAAACAACAAACTCTGTTTGGTTCGCAACAACGACGTGTACGCATCTCAAGTGCAACATCTCTGTGGGGTTTGGAATTGTTGAAAACCCTGTAAAAGCATCTTGAAGTGCGCAGAACGTAACCGAAAAAAGAATGTCAGTACCGCGTAATGTGCCGTACGTAGTAGCGTACAGTACAGTGCCTCCAGCCTAAGCTTTGTCTGCGTCAATACGTGACTTCTAAAAACAAAACAAACGCAGCCAACACTGCATTTGCGAAAGGAGATGAGGCTATTGAATCTATTACTCATTATGAAGGCACGGAGAGGGGAAAGAAAACTGATTTAATAAAGTTGTTATTCAGACAACTAAGAAATGGCATGTAGCGTAAATTGGAAGACCACTAGAAATATGTTTTTGTTACCGCTAACATCACGGCGGGTAAATCAAAGCTCTCCATGAGTTGTCTCAGAGGTATACAACGACAGAATACTATTGAGTCTGGAGTTTGCAAGGCTGAAGTAATGTAAAAATTAGCAGCACACAAAAAAAATCTAGTTGAAGATATACTTTAAGATAAGAACACCCCATCTTTAACCTGTAAACTCGTAATTTATTTTAACAGCACATCAGAATATGTCAATCAACATGGATTTTGTTTGATCCAAAACTGAAGGTATTTCTCAAACATAAAACACATTTACTACACAGTATGCTGAAATGTTTTCTACAACAGTGCAGTGTTTTTTCTATATATTTTTTTTATTAAAACCATATACATACGTCCACTATTATTCAAAATCTCGTAAAAATAATATTCAAAAACGAGTTAAAGAATCCAGTGTTAAATACATTGTAATGGACCTCGATTGAGTCAGCTTAAGAACATGTGGCAAATAACGAAAGGAATGCTAAACTCTGCACAGATGCCATTCTTGAATAATTTGAATGGACCAATGCCACTACACGTAACTAACATAAGACGCAAGACAAATCATCCCTTATGGCTGTACCCCGAGGTACCAAGTAGTACAAAATGGACGAGGCAATTAAATATATTTTTTCTGGGACACTATTTTTTCCAGGGGTGTAACTGAACTCCACGACTGGGGCACCAATCAATCCGAAATCAGTGTCACACTCCGCGATGTCGAAACGCCAAACATTATAGCATAAAAAAAATCCGTTATCGAAAATTTCAACTTTGAATAGTGTATCGTGAGTACAGCTCGTCGAGATGAGTCGATTGCCGCATGGCCGACCATCAACAGACTAAACATGACTGCATCACGGACATTATGCGAGAGCCGGGGCACTATGATACCGCCATAAGGTTTAAATGCGGTATACAGCACAGGGGCCGTCCATAAATGACGTCATGCACCTAGGGGGGGGGGGGGGTCAGACATTTGTGACGATGTGTGACTGGGGGGGGGGGGGTTAGAAGTGTGACGTCACACCAAAATGCGCAACTTAAATAAATATAGACAACACGTTCTACTTAATTAAATAGACGTTTTGATGTTTTCTCCTACAACATCAGAGTGCAGCGCCACATTAAATACGCACTACAATGACAATAGTTTAAAGCGATTTGAAGCATGTTTTATTTTTTCTTGGGGGAGGGGGGGCAGAGCTTTGTGACGTCATGTTTGAGGGGGCCTGACTTTTGTGACGCCGCGTGGACGAGGAGGGGGTCAAAAATCGTCCAAAATCGCATGACGTCATTTATGGACGGCCCCTAACAACCAACACTGTTGGAGGTGGGATACTAAATTCACCTTTGAGATCATACAGACATTACACAACTGGAGTTAAATGTTGTTACTGGTTATAGCCCTGTGACAAATAAAAAAAATAATGTTTATGAAAGAGAGAATTGATACTCACCCATTAAAACCAATACTTAACCTCGCAACTATTATTCATTTACGTATTTAATCTGCATTTGAGCAGTCCCTGTCCCATCTAAAAAAAAGGCAACAGGTGCAATTGGCTGTTTTGGTATGCTGTGCAAATCAACTTCAGAACTTTTATTTTCAATTGGTCGTAATTTTTGTAATGTCTCCTTCTACAGGGATACGTTCAAGAGACACCGTTTTAATATACCACACGACATACGAGCATGCGGAGGTAGACACAGATGTCCTGCATCCGTATTCAATAAATTCAGGTGCACAGACTGAGACCATGTGCTGTCACAGAAGATGTATCTTATGTTAAGTCTTTAAAATGTTCAAGGTAACCTTGAGGATCCTACAAATAATCGAGGGATTTTTTTTTTATTATCGTATTGCAGCGGCTACCAGAAAGCTACATCTAGAAACATGTTCAACATTCAGCATGTTATTGTACAGTATTCTGTCAAAGCTGGAAATGAGTTATTTTTGTTTAATTTGTTGTCCTTCACTCCGCGCACCTCCGATGCGTACGGTGCGAAAGAAGCTCAATAAGCATATACAACCAGAATGATGTCAACAAGTAAAACCAAACTTGCTCACAAAAAAATCATCTTAACCCGATAATAAATGTTGTTTATATTGACCAGTCAACATTGCCCCATTGCTTATTGGCACTGCGCCAATACCAGTTACACAATCCATCACAAGCTATGATCAATCCAATTCTGGAGATGGAGGCCTCATCAAGCGAACTACTTCCCTTACATTTATGTAATTTAACAGTCCACCTAGCACAGGGCTCGGCAAACCTTTCAAAGGAGACATTTTTAATTTTTGTCTTTGACCAAAATGGTTCCAGAGCGCACCACACGCAGAGCTACTTGTACACAAACACAGCAGCAGGCACACGGCAGATTACAAACAAATTCTGACTTAAACAAAATAAGATGGAGGAATAAACTGTCTACAGTATTTGGTTTATTTACATCTTAGTTATTCTTTCACAACACAGTTTTGCTGTACATTTTGTAAAGTAAAAAAAACCAAACCGGTAATGGATACCCATCGTAATTTTCTATGCATTCATTAACCCCTCCACCCCGCTGGCCTTCGATGTGAAGGTTTCACAAGTGACTGACATCACATCTATCCCTCTATTTAAAAACGAAACAGGAGGATTTCTCCACAAATCTGGCTGTTGCCTGATGATGCTAGTTGTAATTACTGGCGAAACGTCGTACTCTGCAACACACCGGTGTGCTGTAATAGTAACGGGGTGGCATGTTTTGTTTACGTGACAAACCTTCCTTCCTAGTGGGCTGTCCGGTGGTGGCGGGTTTAGTTACATTTATATTTACGCGATGTTAATTTTGTAGTCACCAAGACATTACATAGTGACCCACTGCTTGCCATATTCAATAAATTATCTTTACTTAAACTTTTTTTTTTAAATGACAGCCGCAAATGGCTCCGGAACCGCAGAATGCCGAGCCCTGATCTAGCCACCGGGTTCGATTTAAATCACTCCATCTTAGTAGACACCCTCTTAAATCATGTTCTGTTCTTTGGCTGCCACTCCTGTTAGTCTCGACACTGGCCATCATCCCCTCTAGCTACTTGACTTGCCTAAGGAGACTTATTTTCTTCACACTTAAATGCTGGATTTTTTTACTTGCGTATTTCCTCGATTCCAAGTGTTCCCATTTCTGTCTCAATGGAATGCCAAATATGCATCTCGCTCTACTGCTCTGTATACGTTTCGCACATGCACATTTATACACAGGTATAAATACCTTTCAATAACAAATGTAGAAATCCTGGGAAATGTGTCAGTTTTCCTTGAAATTGAATTGATGACAATGGAAAAACCATTTTGTAAAATCAACTTAAGTATTACAAAATGCACTTAACACACAAAATTCAATACTCTATTGACCACTAAATGATGGTAATGTTACCCACTATCTGCCAGGAAGGTTCCTCTTTTGAACGACTCAAAAAATGTATTATGCAACATAGCTGCAGAAAAACTAGAGGTCAATCACTATACATAGCTTTCTTGAGCAGCTGTTGATGTGCTCTCTTTTTACAATCTTAATCTATAAACTCGTATCTTGCAGATGCATTCCGCCAAAAAAAAACAGCAACTGAAAAATAGTTACGGCCAAGGCACATTCTGCAATGAAAATTTGGAAACAATGTAATACTTTCCAGGTTACGGCAAAATTAACACAACTGTTGCCCAAGCATGTTGCATTGAAACGCCACATCCTGGGCAACTGCAAAGCCTAAACACTTCAACACACCAACCTATGTACTTTGCAGCGAACACTTCCTGACCTCTAATGCAGTGGTGGGGATGGAGGTAAGGTCAGGGGAGTATGTCAACGGCTGCTCAAGAAACAGAGCTTAATTTCTTTCTAAAAGCTCCGCCCTTTCAAACTTGATCCATGGCCTCGTAGCACAGCCTCAACCATTCTTGTTGAGGCAAAATCACTAAACTGAGAATCTACTCCAAAAATATCTGCCCATTCCTCCTGGTCAAGCAAGTGCCAAATCAGCCAATCCTCTGCCTCAATGTCCTGCCCTGCCAAGCAATGGACATTCTAGGATAATCATCTGCTCTGCCTCGGACTGACTGCAGGCAATAAAAACCTTCTGTATCAAGGTTCCTGTGTTGGTGAACCATGTTTATTCACCATGGCCACTGCCATCCCATTGTTACAGCGAATCTGACACTCTAAAGGCCCTCTTGTAAGCACCTGGAGAACCCTTTGGATCTATAACTTTACTACTGGACATCTGAACCTTATGGCGGTACCGAGGTACCATAGTACCCCGGATCTCGCATAATGTCCGTGATGCAGTCATTTTTAGTCTTTTGATGGTCGGCCATGCGGCAATCGACTCGCCTCGACGAGCTGTACACGATGCACTATTCAAAGTTGAATTTTTTGACAACGTATTTTTTTATGCTATGTTTGGCGTTTCGACATCGCAGAGTGTGGCACTGATCTCGGATTGATTGGTACCCCAGTCGCAGAGATAAGTACACCCCTGGAAAAAATAGTGTCCCAGAAATAAAATATTTAATTGCCTCGGCTATTTTATATCATTTGGTACACCGCCATAAGAATCATGTGAAAAAGTGCATCGGTCACCTGATTCCTCCAGTTTAAACAAATATTGACATTGCAGACCAAATGCCCTGCACTGCTGGTCCAATATGCTGCATTTGCGGCATCAATTTCCACTACAAGATAGATCAAACACAGGAGCCGCCTCCGATGTGAGCATTTTTCTGTCCTGATCAATTAGCGCAGGTTCACATTGGAGGTTGGTGATATCGCAAACTTGTCCCAGGGGGACCCAATCAACTGATCTCATTGGCCTGCCTAGCTGCAAAAAATGAAACTTGGCAGTAGGCTTAAAACATACAAACAAACAAACCATTTGTCCACTAAACGATTAAAAATAAAACTTAATATCCAAATATTTGGTTTCTTGGTTATAAAAAAAAATGTTAAAGCAATGGAACATGGCTGGCAGGCCTGGCCGAATATCTCAACTTTGAGCAAGCAAACTACTGTGCTCCGATGGCTAATTTCTAGGTTTAAGAGGCAAACAAGACATTACATAAACTTGCATACAGGACACCAAACATACGATATTTTAAATCCATACTTTTTAGCATGTATGCAATCACACAACACAGGAAGATATAAAAGTTTTTACAAAATGAATGAAGCAAAAAAAATATGAATATAACCCTTTGATACTAATATGTGAGGGGCTTCTACAAGCATGATATGCCCACAAAACAAGCCTATACACAGGCTGGCCACACTTGTGTAAAAGCAAGTGTTCCCCCATCCTGGGGGCAAGAAATCTGCATTCTTCACCCAGAATGGTCCAGTCCCCAAGCAATGTATCTGGATCGTATACCTGTAACCACAGCCATGGGTGCAAAACATCTTCGCGGTTGGTAAAAAAGTATGTGTATAACACTATGGAACCAACATTAAAAATTATTTTTTAAATAAGAGTAGGTGTCACCCTTTCTGAAAATAAAAAAGGTGTTAAGATGTTCAAACATAAAATAGATACCTTTTGCAAGGCATCAAGTCTGCATTAACCACGCGTACTTGTGGCAAAAATATGAAAACAAACTTGTTCTAACAATTTTGATTTAAAGCTTTCATGACTGCAGGGATTCATA